ATGGGGGACCCGAACCCTCGGTGGGAGCACCGCCGCGCTCCCAAGCGGCGCACTAGCGCAGTGCGCCACCGGGCCGGCCTAACAGGGGACACTTTTGATGTCTTTGTTCCTAGGAATAAAAATAGTATTAACTTAGGGTACTTTATTTTTTACATAGACATTTCAATAGCCTCCAGTCTTTCAAAGAGTCTCCAGTCTTTTTTTTTTTTTTTTTTTTCCTTTTTGTCGTGACCGGCAACGGGATCGCAACCCTCGGTGTTGCACCTGCACCTCGCTCAGCCAGTGAGCGGCCGGTCTGTATGTGGGATCCGAACCCTCGGTGGGAGCACCGCCGCGCTCCCAAGCGGCGCACTGTAGCAGTGCGCCACCGGGCCAGCCCAAGAGTCTCCAGTCTTAGAGACATCAGCCAGGCTTCCATTGATAACTTATCAGCTCTTGTAACCTCACCTCAACTTTGAACTATAATGGAGCTGGAAAAGGAACCACAATTTTGTGGTATCTGAGGCAGAAAAGACAGAGAAATCCTGTGCCTGAGGGTGAAGGAACATGAAAGTACAGACTTTTAGTGCAAAAGAAGGTGGCAAAACATTATTCTATCAAATTTCCAGCAGCAAAGTAATTTTTAGTACATTTATCTTTCCTTAAAAATTACAACTTTCTGGGGCCGGCCCGGTGACGCACTGCTACAGTGCGCCTCTTGGGAAGCGCGGCAGTGCTGCCTCCGAGGGTTCGGATCCCACATACAGACCGGCCGCTCACTGGCTGAGCGAGGTGCGGGGGCAACACCGAGGGTTGCAATCCCGTTGCCGGTCCCGGTCCGGTACGGGCGCAACACTGAGGGTTGTGATCCGTTGCCGGTCACGAAAAAAGACAAAAAAAAATTACAACTTTCTACTTGGCAGAGTGTAGTCCTGATAATACCGAGCTCACGGGTTTGGATACCTGTACCAGCCAGCTGCCAAGAAAAAAAAATGTCTTCCACATGAGTAATGATATAAAGGAGAGATGGAAACCAGCATCCCCAAACAAGTTGACTTAGGGTTACCTAATTACTTTCATCCTAATGGTCGAATCTGTGAATCTAGATGAATCTAATTCATGTCAAGCCTTTCGTTTTTGAGGAATAAGGCATTTTACTATGTAGGCTTACTAACCATTGTCGCTTTGTGCTTGACTTCTCTAGAAGTAATCCACTACCTCAGAATGGGATACTAGCTCCTGCTCCACTTCCTGTGATAAACCAGAACGGAAGTTTCTGTGGGGATGCCTATAAACCACCAGAAATCAGACTCTTCGGAGATGGACTCTGACATGTCACCTAGCTGCAGGCACAGTGACCTGAGCAGAGGTGGGAGTTTGGAGAGTCGGAGTAGCAGTTCTCGGTCCAGAAGTTTCACTTTGGTGAGTGATGGTTTTCTTTAATGCTTTTCCGAGCTCTGGTTGGTTGATTTTGCCCCAGCCTCTCTCCCCTTTAAGGAATATCTTTAAAAATCCTTTTAGGTAAACTAGCTTGATGTTTTGGAAAACTTCTTTGTGAAATGGCATTTTATTTTAAATCATCTTAAATTTTGCACAAATACAGAGTATTACCCATAGCAATGGAGCAAATCTCTAGCTAGAGCCAGTAACTGATGTCTGCTTAGACCCAAAAAGGATTGTGCCTAAGGCAGTAACAAACCCAGGCAAAAGCCCTTCTGCCTTTCAGTTCAAGTGACTGGAAGAAAACATCTCACAGGATAAAAACAAGTCCCTTTAAAACAGATTTTTAACTCCTTTGCAAATGAAAATGCTTTTGTCGTCCTTTTTCTCAGAATCCAGACTCTTACACAGCATCAATCAGTTTTGGGAGTTTTACAAAGAGTCTTTTGTTTTAAAGTTAAGAGATGATATTTTTGTACATTTTTCCCCAAGAGTATTCGTATTCATCTTTCAGGAGGGAGAGACCTTTATATGCATAGAGGGAAGCGCAGGAGAGAATTGACCCTTGGACTTCACTTAACGGTCTCTAGCTCATCTCAGTCCATCTTCTTCTACTGGGAGTACCAGTTGCCTTCAGTTACCCTGAGCCCTAAATTAGCCCCAGTTACACTGAAGCTAAGAGAGATATACTGGTATGGGGGTAGTTAATAGTAATGATGGGATTTTATAGGTTCCTGCTTGCATTTTTTCTTCTTTTTAAACCATCATGGTGGTATGTAATAGATATTATTTGATTGATTTACCAAAAGGAAAATATATAACTAATTAGTCTCAGAATATCTGATAGCCTATAAATACTTTAAAATGGATTGTTTGGGACTAATTTTTCAATTTTTAGAAGTAATATAAAGAATATATTAAAAGAATATGCAGAAACGACATACGGATTAATATTCCACTAATTAGTGGATTATGTTCCCCAAAGCGTAGTTAGGAAGCAGTCATGCTCTGATGTAGAAGGGTATTTCTAAAACTTTGTGTGGCCCACTTAGGTACAATAATCTAAAAGACTACCTTCTACATGTTTAACAGATGACCTTGGTATCTAAGTACATGGGTATGGAATTAGGAGTCAGGATATTTAAATTACTTTCTTGCCTTTCACATTTATTTTCTTGTTGAACTTGGAGCATAACTCTTAACGTCTTTGTACCATCGTCTCTTTTGATAGAGAACTGACGTAATACCCACTATTCTTCTCGTGGGAGAGACCATGATACCAGGCATGTTAAATGCTTTGAATCTAGGAAGGGTGGTTGCTACATTTGTAGGAGGGTACTTCAGAAAGTTCATGGATAAATAGAGATAAAAGATAATATGAATCTGTCCATGAACTTTTTGAAGTACTTTGGTATCTCCATTCTAATCACATAATTTCCATTTTTCATATTAACCACCTAATGCCTACTTTCACCAAATGATGTGTGGCTGCTCAACTCATGTACTCCAAGGACAAACAGGACTTGACTGACCTCTACAGACTTGTCCATTGAGGAGTAGAATTAACTAACAGTTCTATATTAACCTTCTATCTCTTTTTTTGTGTGTGTGTAATTTATACGTTTGCTCAAATATTGAAGCACTGTTCTAGGAGTTAAGGACATGACAGTGGAGCTTACATCCTAGTGACTGTGACCTATTAAGACAGAATAGGTTGTTGCAGATTTGCATCCCCAGGCAGCAGATTCTAGTTGGAGGTTAGAGTGCAGGAGGTATATTGGGAGTGTTGACATCTGTAGTGTTGCCAGGATTGACATCTGTAGAAGGAAGAGGAAGCAGGATTGGCAGAGAGAGAAGTTGAGCTTGGGATGTAGACCCAGTGAAGGCCTTGGCTGTGCCTCCAGGAGCTCTGAGCTAGGATAGACCTTCAGTTGTCCCACACTGGGTCAAGGGTGGGGCCTTCCTACCCACTTGGTGATTGGCTTTTGGATGCAGGCTAGCCCTGGAAGGAGGCATAACCTTGACAAAACAATTTCTTTCAGCAGAGACAATCCCCAAGGAATACTAATAGGTGAGGGCCGTCTTCCAGCCTCACTCCCCACAGATGGGGGCACAGGTCCTCCATTCTCAACTGGTGACCTGGATGGCCCATCACACTACCCACCACAAAGGTGTAGAGAAATGAAAAGAATCTGAGAGGGGTTGAAGCAGCCAGAGTACCTGCAAGATATCTTAACTAGAAGAAGCAAGTCTATGAAAAGAATACAGAACAGTGAAAAGAATACAGGGATATGGAGGTATATCATCTGGCAAATCTGGAGAACATGCATCATGTTAACTCTTTGTCGAGATGTCTTACACAGGAATATATCTTCAGAGACGAAAGCTCTTGTCTGAAAGAGGTCTATTCAGTTTCACCTCCAAAGTCACAAGGAGAAATGGCTTATTCTAAAACTTTTTATCATGGTCAATGTTTTTATAATGTGAGATGTATGAACCAGCATTAGGTTGGAAGGTTGGAAAGGTTATACGTCTCTTGCACTGATAAACATCGGGGAGTCAAGGAGAGCAGTGTTCCGTGTCTCAGCCTCCTGTGGCGGCAGGGTTATTTGAGCCCTCAGTGTTGGCCCACGTAGATTTTACTGTGGGTTGAGTTAAATGCAGGGATCAGAAAGGCATTCCCCAAGATGTTTGTGATTTTTCTCAAATCCCAAACAAGTTATACATGTTTAAAGTTGGCTTCTACTTCACTAACCAGTCAGGATCCTGAAGTCAGCTCAGAATAGTAATGAACACAGGACCTTGGAGACATTCCCAGGCTCTCATCTGAATCTGCCTACCTTTGTAACCTCAGAAGAGCGCATCACTGTCAGCTCTGTTTTCTTCATTAGTTCAGAAAGGGGACAGGTGGGACAGTGATCCTCTCTTGGGGGTGGTTGTAAAGATGAAACGCCTGTCATCAAATCAGTGTTTACTACCAGCCTCCTTTTCCCAGTGTCTGTCAGCTTCCGGCTTGAGCATAAGCCCACTACATCCTGCTGCATCGTTTCCTTGGGGTCCAGGCCCCCCTACGTGTTTCTCTCGTCAGTTGTCTTCTAAGTTGTTTTTTCTTTGATGACTGAAGGTGAGGCAGTAAAAGTGAAGCCCTCCTTCCTCCTTAGTGTCTCACAAATTTCTTAATGTTGCAGTCTCTTTATGGGCATCCCTCTGAGTTTAAATTAAGGAATGCCTGTCCTGTGCAGTTCTTTTCCATCTAGTAAACCTGAGTGAAACTCATATTGTGATGTATTTATCTGTATGTTCCCCGACAGTGCCCATCACTCGCACGTAATGCAGACTAATAGTGGAAACAGCATTATAAATACCACTTGTAGGAAGCATATAATTAAATTATATTCTTATGTATTTGATTACATAATTATGCAGCATATTCCCCTTTTTACTATTTTCCCGTATGACGAAAGAATGTTCCAATCATGTTCATTACCTTCTACTTGGACCTGTTAACTGTTTTTGAGCATTTTCCTTTATGGAAAATTATTGAGCTAAGTTTAGCTGTCATGTATGATTATTTAATAGTTCTGTGTTTTCCTTAGATAGAAAGGCAAAAAATGGCAACTAAAGTTTTTTAAACAATCACGTAACACTTGATTTTCACAGAGCACTGTGCTTAGCAGCCTGGTCCCCTGTCTGCAACATGACAACACGTGTAAACTTCATACTCTACTTTTGGGGAGTCTAAATTTGGAGAGGAGCTATATGTTTTTATTCTAAGTCATTGGGGTTTTTTTTGTGACTTTACTCTTTAGAATAAGAATCAACCATAGTAGTTTCTCCACTTGATGTCTTTTAATCTCCGATATCACAAAAGGTTCGTCAGTAAACAGTGTTTTTATGTCTCTAGATTGTGTGGCATGTAAATACCCCTCTTCGAGGTTTCTTTAAGTAAAAGATAACCTAGTTCTGATTTATAGGAGTATTTCTTTTAAGCAAAGGTTATTTTTTAAAGTAGATAAAAGATGAATGTCTGATGTTAAGTGAGGGTATTCTAGAGTTTTTAAATACAACTTGAAGTGTAGCCTGGGATATAACAGATCTTTGCTGTTTAAAAACTTTTCTCCTGAGCCAGTGCAACTTAAAATTAAAATAGCTGCTTAAATAGGATTGCTGTGGCTGTCCATATGGCCACCATTATGACCAAGGCTGTTCTAAGAAGGGCATTGTATATGATGTCTTTATTTCTCAAGGGGCTGGTTGTCTTTGTGTATTTTTTTTTTTTTTTTTTTTTTTTTTTTTTTTAAGGAATTCTTCCTCTGAACATTTTCTAATGAAAGATATAGCCAGAACTAGAACCAACTGGCCAAATCCTAGAGTACATGACTGGGAGGACATATGTTATCAAAGGAATATGTTTTTTCCTTTGAAATTTAGGAGGGGCAGCTTTTATACAAAGGCAGCACTTCTTTACAAAGTTGGTAGTGTGGCTGTGGAACTTACTACCTTGAGAGATGATGCAGACTCAAAATAAAAGGTTTAGGAAGGATTGAGAGACATTTTTAAATGATAGCTCTTTAAGGCTACTAAAAGGAGCTTTGGGTGTTAGGTCATCTATATTCTTAACCTCTTAAGGCTAGTGTCTCAGATACTCATGCCATCTCATAAAACACTCTGGGTGTCACTGCCAAGGACAGAAAGCTGTCTCAAGCCAGTATTTGTAGGTTCTTATTCTGTGTTCCTGAAGTCTGTTCTGCCCTTCAGCATACTGCAGCTTCCTCAAGAAAATAATACGATTTGGCTGATTGAACAGAGAGGGAAGCTCTTCATACCCATAGTTCTTAAGGAATTTAACTCTAATAATGTGTCTGCTTTTTTGAGGGTGGGTATGGGACATTCCAAGCATACTTCAACTTGGATAAAAATAATGATCCAAATTTATTAGTGAGTTTTTGGAGATGTGATATTCAATGAACTGTCTTGATGCTTCCATCTACCTAAGCTAACAAATACTGTGGTCCTAATATCACATATCATGTGTATGATCAGACAGCAGTTGTCAGCTCTTGAGCTGTCCCCTTCCTTCTCCCAAGCATTTGATGCCTTTTGTCTTCACCCATTAGTCACAGAAGAAGAAGGTAGAGCAAGTGGTGGTTAAGTGCTGTCCTCATGGCTGGTTAGACTGGAGTCCAAGCAGTACACTAGAAACCCCATGTGCCATTTGCTCTGTGATTCAAGGAGAGGAAACAGAACCAGAGGAGTGAGAAAGCAGAAGCACACTAGTCAGGAAGTAACCCTGTCCTCCTTTTAGTTCTGGCTCCTTACCAGATTGAATCAGAAACTATCCTGGTCAAAACAGCTATTTTAAGACAAAGTTAAGTAGCTTTTATAAAAGATCAATTCGATAAACATTTTAGTAAATGCCTACTACGTACAAGAACTGATAACTGATGGAATAAAATGCAGTTTTAATCTTTTCCTGGTCAAAACAGCTATTTTAAGACAAAGTTAAGTAGCTTTTATAAAAGATCAATTCGATAAACATTTGAGTAAATGCCTACTACGTACAAGAACTGATAACTGATGGAATAAAATGCAGTTTTAATCTTTTTAGGAACTCAAAAATATAGTGGCAAGACAGCCATGTGCAGAGCTAGGACAGTGTGACAGAGCTCATGAGGGGTCTTGGAGCACCTATAGTGCCACACACTTAAGGTGTTTCTGTCCTAACCAAGATCTCTTTATAAGAGATATAGATCAAGAGGTAGATAGGAGATCAAGATCTATACTGTCAGTTTAAAGATGTTTAAGGCAGCTAGGGAGTCCAGCTCTAATCCTTCAAAGCCATTATTCTTCAGTTTTGTAATCAAAACCATACACATATCTCATTCCTCACTGGTTTGTTTATGTCTCTTTCCTGCCAGAAGTAAAGGTCTAAGTTAGCCATAGGGAAAAATTACAATAGTGTCTAGTTAGAAGTAACCGTAATTAAACCCTTATACTGAAGCTGTGGGGAAGCGCTTCAGTGAAATGTACATGTCCAGCCTTTCTTGCGAGGTGGCCAAAGCAAACACAGGCACTTGAAGCTATGGAAGAAGAGGCTTATTCGTATTTTCTTCTCTCTGCCCCTATTCTATTTCAGCTTCTGGGGGGTCTCCCATCAACTTAGATTACTAAGCAATAAAGCAATGCTCAAGTGTCAAGGTGACAGTCGTGGTGTCCGTAAGAAGAATATGTGTAATGATAAAATAAAAAATAAAAAATAGAAGATGACATGGACATCAAATCATATTCTTCCAAAACAAATACCTGAGGCTTCCTACCTGGGAGCCTGGTGGTTAAGAGGTGCTTGGCTCATCTCAAGAAATTTTTAACCATAATAGTCTTTTTTATGAGTTTTTTTTTTTTTTTTTGTCCAGAATAGAGATGAGTTCTGCTTGTTTTTGTTTTTTTTTTAATGCCTCACAAGGAGTTGCCACGATTGTCTCAGTCTGCAATTAAGTTAAATTGCTTTGTTTAATGGAAAAACAAAAGAAAAGGCCTACAAACTTAATTATCAGGACAAGATTCAGTAGTTTTTTTAGGGGCTATTTTAGGATGAGGATTTTAAGCCTTCTCAGCATTTTTTGTTCGACAAAACAAAGGTTTTTTTCTTCTCTGTTATTTCCCCCAAAACAAAACTCTTGTCCCAAATCTGTACTAACGTAAATATATCTAGGATTGTTGATTTTTGTAACTATTGCTAGCATTTGTTCAAAAAGATTGTCATCCAGCTTTTATGTGGATGTTCTTCTCGTAGTTTGAATGGGGCTGGACAGACCTTTTTCTGTCATCTTGTGCAGGAGTGAACAGACATCAGCAAGACCAGGACCCGGTTCTGTTCATGGGAGGCTTGTTCAGTGTACATTATAATTACCTGCATATATTTAACATTTTGAATTTTTTGGTTTGAATATATTACAGATTTTTTTCTTCAAAATCATAATAGACATATTAGGGTAGAAATCTCTTTCTCACATTCCTGAAGTAAAGCAATGTTTCTCTCGGAGACTTGCAGATGTTACCTGAAGTCAGCATGGTGGGATGGAATGGGCAAGGCCTGGTTTTCTAAATAGTTCTTTCAGCATCTGGAGATGTGCAGCCACTTAAAGGGCTGCTGTTTACTCCATAATCCAAGTTGGTGCATTAAAAGTGACATTTGTAGAAAGGGAACTGCTGTCAGCCTACTATCTTGCACACAAATAGGGACAAACTTGTTTTCCTCACCTCTCTTTTATTTGTAGAAAGGGAATTTTATTTTTTCTGCTGTCAGCCTACTATCTTGCACACAAATAGGGACAAACTTGTTTTCCTCACCTCTCTTTCCCAGGAAAGCTGCTATTTCAGTTTATCGTCATTTCCTATCTCCTTAGTTCTTTAAGAACTGAGTTAGCAAATGCCACGTCCAAAAGCACCCACAGCCCTGCAGGGACCTCCTCTGCGGGCTCAGTCTTCTCCCCTCCTCCACGTGGGGCCGCTCATCTACTGCTTTTTTTTTTTTCAATATTGAGATACAGTTTATTGAGATACAGTTCACGTACCATACAGTTCACCCATTTAAAGTGTACCATTGAATGATTCTCAGTATACTTACAGAGGCATACAGCCATCATCACAGTCAGTTGTAGAACATTGTCACCACCCCAAAAAGAATCTTGTGCTCATGAGCAGTCACTCCCCGTTCCTCTCGCCCAGCCCCTGGATACCATTGATCCGCTGTCAGGCTGTGTGGATCTGCCTCTTCTTGCTCCCTCCCTTCTCGATGCTCTGCCCTTTCCCCAAGACCACGTGTATCTTCCTCCTCAGCGTCCCTGTCAGAGAGAGGCGGTGTCCAGCATCTCCTCAGAGTGGGAGGAGTTCACAGGAACTCTCTTGGACAAGGGCCCCAAAGTACCTGCTCCCCTGCCTGTGTCCCCATGTTTTTCTCTCTTTCCACCTTCTTTCCTCTCCAGGTGCAAGCAGAGTCCAGGTTCATTTGGAGGGCAGCTTCGTGCTCGGGGATTAGGCAACAGACCACGCCCATAGCATTTTTGGCGCTGCCACATGGGTCAGGGCTCAAGGCCAGGCTGATCACAAAGAAGGCACTTGGGGTTCCCCATCTTCCTCCTCAGCGTCCCTGTCAGAGAGAGGCGGTGTCCAGCATCTCCTCAGAGTGGGAGGAGTGCACAGGAACTCTCTTGGACAAGGGCCCCAAAGTACCTGCTCCCCTGCCTGTGTCCCCATGTTTTTCTCTCTTTCCACCTTCTTTCCTCTCCAGGTGCAAGCAGAGTCCAGGTTCATTTGGAGGGCAGCTTCGTGCTCGGGGATTAGGCAACAGACCACGCCCATAGCATTTTTGGCGCTGCCACATGGGTCAGGGCTCAAGGCCAGGCTGATCACAAAGAAGGCACTTGGGGTTCCCCAGCCCCTAGCCCTAGAGAAAGACCTCAGAGGGGGTGAGGATGCAGGAATCTGAGTCACCCAGGACCTGGGGGTGTTCACTGACCAGCCTGGTGAAATGGGTTAGTGTGTTCTAGTGCAGAAGTGGTAAGTGAGCAGGAGTGGGAAAGAACACTGAGGTACAACTGAGAGCTGAGGACTCCAGGGTAACATGTCCAAGACTGGTACAGGGATCTGTTGACACATATTAGCATACAATGAGAAAGGGAAATGAGCAGAACAAAACAAAAAGCAAGTATAGAACCTCATTCTAGTGCTAGCCCCTCCACAAAGTAGTTGTATGTCTTCAGAAAGTCATTTCAGGCTCTGAACCCAGTTTTCACATCCACAAGGGAGGAAGCTAATTGATCTGCTGTGTTGCATCTTTCAGCAACACACAGGAAAGGAAAAGGAAACAGTTGTGTAGGAGCTTCCCTTCTGCTGTGGTGTGAATGTCCCTCCGAAACTCATATTGAAACTTAATTGCCATTGTAACAGTGTTGAGAGGTGGGACCTTTAAGAGGTGATTAGGGCACAAGGGCTCTGGCCTGACAATTGGATTAATCCCATTATTCTGGGAGTGGATTAGTTATCATGGGAGTGGGCTCCTGATAAAAGGATGAAGTTTGCCCCCCACTTCTCTCTCTGTCCCGTGTGCTCGTGTGCCCTTTCACCATGTTGTGAGGCAGCAAGAAGGCCCTCACCAGATGCGGCCCCTCGATCTTGGACTCCAGAACTGTGAGCCAAATAAACTTCTATTGGTTATAAATTACCCAGTCTCGGGTATTCTGTTATAGCAGTAGAAAATGGACGAAGACACCTTCGTAATCTTATTTTCCAAATGAAATCTTGGGGCTGGCTGGTTAGGTCAATTGGGAGAGCATGGTGCTGAGAACACCAAGGTCAAGGGTTCAGATCCCCTGTACAGGCCAGCCATCAAAAAAAAAAAAAAA